CTAAAGAGGCGTAACAATATTATTTGGAGAATCGATAGAGGAAGTTACTAGTAACTTCAATATTAGTTGAAGCTTCGAGCTCTTATACTTTAGGAGATATAAACTTTTGTGGATTGCCACGCCCCCTGCGGGTGGCCAAAACTTGTTGGTCTTGTGAGGTCAGCCAGAGTATATATACCAAATTTGAGGTATCTAGCATCAACAGTGTCCAAAATATAGCAGAAAAATTTGAAAAATTACTATATATTCAGGTCCGATTCGCCACGCCCATAAAAAGCTTAGATATCTAATTTTTCATAAATTTTATAACATCAGATCACGATTTGCTACGCCCCTAATGGGCGTAGATATTTCCGTCATAGACGGACATTCGGAAAGACGGACGGACAGCAACACGGACATTGCACAAAACCAATGTACTCGTTCACTTTCGTGAATGAGTATAAAAATGCCAGATTTACCGCCACCAGCTAGTTTACAATTTTTCCTGCAATTGGCAATTGAAAGATGACAGATCTGGCTGGTAAAAGGCTAAGTTGGCAGCCCTGAGCTCGGTCGAGCGCATGAAGCGAAATGATTGTGCTTTCGTATATTTTCGTAGCCCGAACCTGAAAGTGAAGAGCCGGCGAATTCGAAGTTGATTGGGACCTACTAGACAGGTTTTCCGGTGTTGAAAAAGTTTGCTCTACATGTCTAGTCCATGTATGTGTTCATTGGTCAGTGGTCTTTCATAACAATGTACCAATACCAATACCAACACCGCCGTCACAACAGAGTGTTAGTTAAAATTAACAGAGAACACTCTGTTTATTGCCACTAACCTTTGCGCAACCTACTGTCTTTTAACAGTGGGCGGGCACTTCAGCAGAGATCTACCAAGCAGTCCAAAGCAACCAAAATTAAGTATATTCATATAAGAAAATTTCAATAGTAAATTTCGTCAAAATGGTTAATAACTAACTTACTGATAAAGAAAAACCCTATTAAAATAAATAAATGGTGCATGAAAGGCGCGAATAGTTATTGAAATATCAGTTGCTTGAAGGGTTCAGGGGATCTCGTAGGCGAGCATTCTCGACTAGAGCTTTCAATCAAGCATAGCTTGTAATCTAGTAGCGTGAGAGCTTTGACGCAACAGAGTTTCCATAGAATGCAACCTAACAGGTTTGCAAGAGCTTGCATTAGCATTAGTAGTTCTTTTTTCAAACCCAAATGCGTCATGGCTCCCCAGTTTTTATTCGATTTCCAACTTATCCTTCTGTTACTACTGATTGGCCGACAAAATATGGGATATAAAATGCCAAACGTGAACATAGAAATGTTAAATGAACAGGGGCTGAAGATCTCAATACCTGGTAAGTGGATGTACCGAAGAACAGTACTAACATTAATGATAATAAATAATCTAAAGATGAGGCAGGAATGCAACGTGTCTTTGTAATGCTGCAAGTGGATGGCAGCTGTCCAGCTTTAATGGATTACTTAACTCAAGCCAATAATGGCAGTTGGACCAGTGTACAACGCATTTGGCTGCAAAACGATGATAAGTTGCAAGTCTCGCTGTTGGTGCAGTACAATAATAATATCTACGAGAAGAGTGAGACACGTGTGATACTCAACACACGTTTTCTGATCACCCAAGAAAGAAATACCGTCAATATCTGGCGATCCAAAGCTCTAGAGACCCTCAGCAACAGCAACGAAAAAAAATGCCAGCTACACCTACCAGCAGACCAAAAACTGTTTAAATATTGCAAGCCAACTAATAGTATTACGAGTAGAAGTAGTAGTAGTCAAGTTATATGTCAGGGTGAGCTTCTTTTTGAAGATGACTTTAGTGAAGGACAGCTGAATAGCAGCGTTTGGATGTATGACATTCGTCAGCGTATGTATTATGTGGAAGAAGAGTTGGTAGCATTTGATGATTCGCCGCGAATTTCGTACTTGCGTGAGGGACACCTACACATTGTGCCGATGGTGGCCAACGAGGTGACAGAGGGAGTTTACAAGCTAGGTGATCGCTGTACGGCTGTTGATAACCGTCAGTTGGAGTGCAGTATTTCCAAAGGTAGTTTCTTTAAGATTAAACCACCTGTATATTCAGCTCAATTGCACACACGGAAGAGCTTCAGCTTTAAATACGGAAAAATTGTGGTGCGTGCTAAGCTTCCAAAGGGCGATTGGCTCTTTCCATGTAAGTACTTTGCATTTATTAAAAAACTCGTTATAATTATGAATAATTATAATAATTAATTAATAAATTTTACAGATATGATGTTACAGCCAGTTTCAACTTATGCAGAAACCCACTTTACCAACCAGCTTCGTAAGTAAATAAGTACGAAAGCTCTAGTCGAGACTACGACTACGAGATCCCCTGAACCACTGACCAGAGAACACAGTGGTCAGTGCCTGAACCCTTCGAGCAATCGATATTTCAATAATTATAATAGTATTGGAAATACGCCTTTTACAAATATGAGGGTGAGGGGGTTGATATAAGGGTGGGGAGTAAAAATTATTAAAAACCAAAATTCTATAATTCTTAATATATATTTAAAATTTTGAGACTAGCTTTAAAGATGTAGGAGATATAATTTTGTAACTGATTTTCGATAAGGTTTTTTTTATCGATAACAAAATAATGGGATGAGTTATCTATTTTTAATGATAAACTCGATATGCGCGCGCTATGTACGGACATTTTTAAACAAAATTTTGAAGTCTCGACGTGTACAAGCATACGGACAAACAGACGGACAGGACTAAATCGACTCAGCTCGTCGCCGTGATCAAGAATATATAGTTTTTGTGGGGTCTGTCACGCCTCCTTCTGCTTGTTTCATACTTTTAACAAAACCATTATACCCTGATTTCCCATTTTCAATGGGTTTAGGATACAAAAGGAAAGTTCTAGTCGAGACTAGGAGTTACCCTGACCCTCCAATCTGATATTCTAATCATTCCTCTTTTTAACAAAAACCTAAATTATATAAAATGCATCTTAATATACACTCCCCGAAAAGGCAACCAGTTTCCTGTTTTTATACCCTGAAGAAGATATAAGAGCTAGAGACTTGATTTTTTTTTTAAATGACCGTATATACAGCGC